TGTGTAATATTAAATTAATACATACTTGTCAATCCAGCGGAATGTGCCGTCTTTCAGCATCTTCTTCAGGATGGCGTACTCTGCTCCTTCGACGTCGAGTTTGAACACTACGGAATAGAACACTGAAAATTCGGTGTGCTGCAATCCTAGCTTGTAATGCTTGTGGTTGTGTGAACATGTAGAAAAGAACATCATGAACTTAAAAGTGTTGTTTCCTAATGATATTCATTATGATATCACTATCTTACGTACATGTAAAGGCTGCATGTACTGTACTAGCAACCTACTGGTAGGCCAGGTGATTTTTAACCCTACCTAGACCGTTGGGGGGCTAAAAGTGCCCGCGGCAACTTTGATGTCACCTAGCGTCTGAACGGCTAGCCGTAGAACGACCAAACTTGCTGACTTTTCCTAAAATATTGTTGGCAACAATTCCCTATCATTGGAATAAGATAATGATTTTTTGTGTTGCCATGGCAACGGGTTTCTGACAGGCATTTTTTGCTAAATTTAGTACTTTTTGTTTCAACAATAGAATTTTATGGGTTTTATGTCAAGTTACTCATGGTTTCTAATATTAATAACATCCCATATAATTTTATGTAAATTTTATCATTAAATATGCATAATTTATGCTAATTTGATGACGTCATTGGCCAAAATCCAAGATGGCGGACCATATCATTAGAACAGGTATATACGGGTTATTTTCATTAAAGTTTCATCAATACTTCCATTTCTTTTTACCAAAAAGGTTTGAATGAAGGTGTTTAGTATGTTTACAATGTATTTTAGGCTTTATCATGAAAAAAAAAACTATTTTTGAAAATTCAAGATTGATGATCCAAGATGGCGGATATCTTAAATATGCATGACGTCATTTAATGACGTCACCGGTGTTGCTATGAGCAACATAAGACTTAGTACACACTAATATTCTGTCAAACACTTTTGGTAAAGTTATGTTGTTTACCAGGGAGGTTTTCAGGGAAAAACCTATTTAGACGGTTTTGGCCAATAAAATCATATTAATGACGTCATAATGACGTCATATTACGTCATAACGACATAAAAATTGTAGATATGATAAATTTTTACTAGTACACCATTCTCTGAAAATTTGGTGGTCATACGACATACCGTTCTCGAGTTCTTAGGGGGGTCAAAAGAGCCCCCCCCGGTCCCCCCATGTCAAAAAAAGCCCGGTCTAGGTAGGGTTAAAGTGCACGTGGATGTCCTATTTTATGATAAGCCTGATCCCACTGATATGAACTGATTATAGCTTCTGAAGCATGGCTTCAGCTTTCATCATGCTGAGGTATAAACTCGTTAGATTCAAATAAAGCAGCAAGTTCAACAGCAGTCATAGAAAATATGGGCATTTTCTTTACATGAAAGGATATCACAAATCACACATGGTCTATTTCAAACGTTTGTAACATGAGACAATCCATAGCCATACCTATGTCATCCTCCACGGCAAAGTTGGCCTGTATCCACCGGGACAGGTCGACCGTTGGCACCGCTCTGCGGTGGGAGAGTTTTCTGATCCCGCCTGTGTCCGTGTCCTGTCTCTCGTCCTCACTAACGAACAGGGACCCCCCTCCCCACTGCATATCCACGCCGTTGTTCTTCCCCTTATCTGGCGACCAGGCCGATTCCGAAAACGCCGTCATCTCTCCTGAAACATGAATGAATTATTATGAAAGTTCATCTGTGTTGGTAGTCATCACAGCAAAATGTTGAACTTTATTCCAACACAAAGATCAAGTGAATAAGGTCACGTGTCTGTAATCGTAACTCTCGGGAGATTACGTTTTGAAGTGATTGGTCATTATAGTAATCCTAAAGAAGGTGACAGCGGTCATTGAAAATTTGATCTCTGTGTTGGAATAGAGTTCAACATTTTACCATAATGATTACTACCGTTCAGCATTGAATGAACTTAATTGTTCAACAATCGCACATGGTACAATGTATGACAGTAAGACAACATTACTACAAAAGTAAACTATCGTTACAAATATTACCACAAACTATTATCGATATCCAGAAAGGAGTTACTCAAGCAGCTGTATATGACTGTGGAATTTCCAGTTGCTTGAGTAACTATTTTTTGCTACAAACTACAATACCGTCTGTGTCGGAGACAGCAGTTGGACAGTGCAGCTTGTGGTTCGAGTACGGAGCGAAGTACGGCCGTAACCGCTCGTCCAGTTCGAACGAATGAATGACGTAGTCATGTCCTCCTGGGTACGTTTCTCTGCAATAGTACACATGTGTGTTTTTTAAACCTGGTTACAGCATCGGGACATTCCTGGTGATTGACAGACCCTTAAAGTCTGAGGTAATACATCACTTTATATCTGTGGCCATCTTGGAATGAAACGAGATAAATGAGGCAGTAAAAAACAACTTGAAAGTCATGTTCACCATTTAAAAGTTTAGAAAAAGTTTATTGACTGTTTCCAGTAATGACAAAAATAGTTTTTAACTTTTCAGAAATGCAAAAATCAATTTCATTATTGTGGTGACCATGTATAAATTCAATCCAAGTACAAATATGTGAAAGGGTTAGATAGAAGATATAACATAGTGTGTGAAAGTAGTCATATATTTCTGTAAACGAAATCACTGTCTCAAATTTCATAGATTTGAACCAAGCATCGAGTCGTCTCACAATAGCCTTGTTTTGTGTTCTATCATGGCCACCACGTGAGAAGTCAAACGGTATTCAAAAGTTCGACTTCATCAACATTCTCCTGATATTTGCGTCATTTATGCGTTCCAATATTATAAAAAACAAGTTGTGCTCAGCGAAGGGGCTGTGTTCAACAGCAAATGGACTGAATTAAAATGCGTGACTGACACAACACAGATGTGCACTGTCCAGGCGGGAGAAAAATCACTGGCAGAATGACAACAACTGACGTGTTGCCAAATTCTTTACTCAGGCACTTTAAGGTCAAGAAGCTAAAAGGCCGCATCTGTGTAGGAGTTGCAGGGTTCAATACAACTGTTCAAAGTCTGGCTACACCACATTCCAAAGTCTAAATCTAGCTACAGCACATCACCTATGTCTACTTAAGTCTATCAACACCGCATTCATGTCTTAATCTCGCTACAGAAAAGTAGTGTCAAGTGTAGGCTACCTGAATAGTTGAACGCTGGAGGCGACATTTGCTCCACAGTCCAAAAATATTTTCCTTGGGCCCTTGACGCCCGTCTTGGTCTTCTGTATCGGGACGTGGCAAGTCTTGAACCTGTGTCATTAGAAGCGACAAAATCGACATAAACATTGACTATAAGGAAAATCCGTAAAGATGTTTACGTGTAACCAAATACTAATATCCATCCCTGGTCTAAAATAGGCTCACTGATTATCAGGGCTTTCTTTGCTAAACCTTGTTTTTGTTTGCCGGTCTCAAAGTACCGTGGCAATGAACAGTTCCGCTTCTACAAATTTACTTATTAATGACATTTATGCCCTATCGGGCAAAGTACGGGAGAACAGATGAAAAGGTATACTGCACATAGTAATGTAACTAATACCGAGGTTAGGCTTCTTCTCGTTTCTTTGTGATGTTAAAAATATAATTTGAGATGGGTTTGTTTAATGCAGGTTGATCAAAGCGCATAAGAAATATGATTTTTTTTTCAAAATTAGTCAGGGATCGGAAGTATGGAAACGTTCTTCTAACATATCTGAAAAGATTATTTCTGTCGTTACTGTATAAACTACAATCTGCGACAAAATGGACTTCATCTACCCAGTTGAAGCTAAAAAATTGGCAAATCCATTGCGCGGTTGTACCATCCTGTTTCTTGCACACATTGAGCAAGATGGCCGCCTTTAATATCACTCATATCAATGATTGCTACAATGGCGGCCGATCTTGGGAAAAAATGTCACAAATCCTAGAAAAGCACTGTTGTATTTCCGATTACACTCTTGAAAAAAATAAGATCGACAGATAGGGATTCTGCTTTTTTAGATTTCGACAGAAGTGATCCAACAAATTCATAATACTAATTTAACAATATAAAACTGACATGCATAAAGACAAGGGCTATCTCCGAGAACACCGTCCACCCGTTTACTTGTGAAGAAGGGGCAAATATTTCACCCAAAAGTTACATGTAAGGTAGGCGGGTTTTTGTTAGGGTCGGTTGGGAAATCGGAAACAAAAAAATTTCTTTCCTTGGCCTGGGTATTAGTGAAACGCAATTTAATTTAATCACTTCCTCCTATCAAAATGACCAGATCCGAATCAGCCAGGACCTGACAAATCACTTGGATTTACATGTATGTGTTTCTATGACACACTTTGCTAGCGTTGCTGTTCAATATCGTACAGGGCGTTTACTGCGTACAGGAAGATTTAAGTGGAGACCTCCTTGCTTGTATACGTACCAGGTGGTTAGGTCTTTGTACATGTAATTAATAAATCATGTACCTCCGTATGGCTGGAAGGTAGTTTAAAAAACAGGTTGATTAGGGCAGTCACACAATATGCGTCCGATTAAATCAATACTCACTGTGTGACGAAGTTTGTCTGGTGACACCTGGACAGCTGAGACTGCAGATCCACGCACGAACAGTTACCCATCACCCGGAACCTTACCGGACAGGTGTACGGCGTTATGGCGGGCCAACCTTCGAACAGGCTGACTTCATAGGAGTTGAAGAACATCTGAGTCACCATGCCTGCAACAAACGACACCAAAACTGGGACAGCTCGCCTCCTGTTGAACGTCGACATAGCTGTTGTCCGTATTCCTTTCTTTGTGTGTCTGAGAATTTACAAGGCAAAACGCGATCGTCAAAGGGAAAATCTCACGTTATATTGCCCTTTTCACCAGGCACGGTGTCAAGCAAACAGCACTAAGTACTGGACTGTACGATAATTTGCAGGGGGGTTGGGTTGGCTCGCAGGAGACACTTACGCTTGTAAGTGTGTTTATTTGAACATGACAAATGTCATTGTCACTTGTTCATCAATAGCTCTGCAATATTTTTTGGGTTTCATCCAGATATCTATACTATTTCGATACAGATTACATCATATGTTTGGCGTGCTCCAAGCATACATGTACCTGCATGGCTTGTGTGGTGGGGTTGTGTATTTTGACTCATGTTCGTACAGTTTGCACAAATCCGATTTGTAGTTCGCACTACAAAATCCAGGGGGCCAACACATGTAGTCGGCTCCCAGTACCTTGACCTGGGGTAAGCCACTCCTATAATACCATAAATGGTCTTCTAGGCGTGACTACATACCGCTCATGGAAGACGTTGATTGTCAGGGTGCCCCCGGGAGTGACCCGCGGTGTACAAGGAAATTCACAAACCATTGAATACTTCTTATTTTTGTTACTATATGCCTTGCACTTGGGAGGGGGGCAGGGGAAATTTCGATACATAATGCATCAAACAAGAAATTTCATGACGATTTTACTTTACTGACTTAAAGTTTTTTGATAAACTGGTAAGTAGCAACCTCTGGGTTACATTCCGTTACGTTTGTTATCGGCCAAAAACAAGATATCTCCTACAAACTACTCACTTAACAGCAGAAGTCGTGTAGTCTGTACACCGGGCAGCCATTTTGTTCAAAACAAATTCTATTTGCCATGCGTAGAGGATAGAAAGTCCCTTTTTACTAGCCCATCCCACCCATTTCGGTTAAAATTGGTACAGTCCGTCTGCCAGTGATGCACTGGGGACTGGGGGAGTACCGCTTGCACTGGGGACTGGGGGAGTACCGCTTGCCCTGGGTACTGGTAACTGGTAGAGTTTGCCTAGAGACCAAACAAATTATATGAGCGTTAAGGTGTTGAAACAGCAACTCACCAGCTGAGAATTTCAAGGGACCTTAGAACATTAGTTGACTCATCTTTTGTTTTGTACGTAGGTTAATTTCATTATACCCATGTATTTGTCTGTATATTTACTTGCAGTCAAGTCGCTGCACTTTTGTTGTGTCAAGGCCCGAATAGTGGCAAGTGTAGTATCCAATCTACTATAAAGTGAGGCACGTTCTAAACTATATGTGTATTGTCTTTGATCGGCTCATGTGTCGTGGCCCTTTGAGGAGTAAAAATGTTGGGGCCGTGACAACCGTGTGTACAATCAATAACAATGATTGGAACATGGAACACAAATTAGCAGTGATCAAAACTATCTTCCATCGTGCAGACAACATTGTCACTTCAGACCAAGCCAAAACGGACGAACAAAAACACCTCCGAGGTGCCCTGGCTAAATGTGGCTACCAAAACTGGACTTTCAACAAAGCGCTCAAACCTTCAGATCAGTCTAAGAAAACCCAGAAGTGCAAACCATTGACCAACAAAAACAAGGCCAACATCACTATTCTATATGTCCAAGGAGTATCTGAGAAACTCCGACGGATCTTCCAAAACTTGAACATAGCCACTAGCTTCAAACCTCGCTCAACCCTCAGACAAAGACTGGTGCACCCTAAGGACCGACCTCACAAAGGTACCAAGGCGAATGTTATTTACAGACTCAAATGTGAGGAGCCCAATTGTAACAACACCTACATCGGAGAGACAAGTCGACCACTCGAAGTAAGATACAAAGAACATTGCCGACCTAGTGCCAACGGCTACTCCTCAGCCATTTTCCACCACCTACAACACAACCAGGGTCACTCTTTCAAACTCGAGTCCACGAATATCTTAGACCGCGAAACACGCTGGTGGAAACGGGGTGTTAAAGAGACAATATATGAAATAATGTACAACCCCACCCTCAACAGGGAAGGGGGGCTACGGGTCGATCTTTCCGGCACTTGTGATTTGGCACTCCCAGCCCCGAGGACAGACAACACTTAAGCTCCTGTTCTTTATAACAGGAGCTTTCAGACTAATTTGCATCATCTTGTCTTGAATTGTATGACTTTTGTTCTTTTTTCGACTTCCAAAAAATTTGTCTTCACTTTATTTGCATATCAATCAATAGGTTGTGCTTATAAACCTGCTTTCCCCTCTGGTCTCTCAGTCACTGACGAAAGCTAGTGGATACTAGCTGAAACGTCTGACGTTTTCAAAATCATATCCAGTTGCTTGAGAAACTGTTTTTTGGCGTAAATAGGATACTGTTCTGGATACGAAGCTATCCAACTCTCTGCACTCATGTCATGTTAGATGACCAGCAGGACGTTCACCCCAGCCAAGCTGTGAAACGTCTCTATAATAAACATCGCCGTTACCGGGTCTGGTTCGTGCATGGGATCAGGCGTTTTCTTTAGAAGAGTTTGGATCGAGTTTAAACGCAAACCTACTACTATTGCCATTATTGCCAGGTATGCTGTATGTGGGAACCGCTGTGGCATGCAGTATTATGACATATACTTATTAACTACATGCCAAGGGCAATGGCCGATTGTAATTTGGACTCCACCACTGTACAATTGACGTATCTATTGATTTATTGATTAATTTTGTAAAAACTTGGTTAGTCCCATTAGTCTTGGGACTGGTGTCCATTGCCGCTCACATAAATTCAAATAATGAATAACAAATAATAACATAGACGTATCTTACGATACACTTTGATATTCATTTGCATTGACGTCACGAGGTCTGAGGTCACAAGGGAGGGCCGCCATCTTGGGTGTCAAATTAGCACATGCACAGTGGGTGGCAATTTGTTTTCTAACAATGAAAAGGTGAAGTTCTAACGGGGCTGCCAGGTTTTAGTGTGTTTATGGCTGTTCTGACCTTGATTGAAACCTCTCTCACATCACCCATGACAGAGAACAAAAAACTGTCACTCTTCCAGCAGTTAATGTTAACAATTATGAAGTTAAGAATAAACATGCCATATCAAGACTTAGCCTATAGATTTGGTGTACATATCTCAACTGTCTCAAGAACAATTCATCATGTTATAGATATGCTTCATGCCATACTTGTCCCAACCGCAGTCATCTGGCCAGACAGAGAAGAACTAAGGAAAACACTGCCCGTCACCTTTCGAGGAAGGTATAGCAAATGTGTAGCAATCATTGACTGTTTTTAGGTAAAACTTGAGAGGTCAAGTGACCACGAAGCACAGTCCCAAACTTATTCTTCTTATAAATCAACAAATACACTTAAGTATCTTATTGGTATTGCCCCGCAGGGTGCAATAACTTTTATTTCCAAAGGTTGGGGGGGGGGAGAACTAGTGA